GGTAACCAGGTTTTCAAGCTTAATATTCCATTTTATTCATGAATCCCATAATTTCTCTTTTAAGTTGTTTATGAAGTTTCATTTCTTTTTCAACTTATACAAACGTTTGAGACAAAAGTGGAGAGATTTCTAAAAGAGTGAAACAGATAGAGGCTCCTGGGGCATGCTGCAGAAAATCTGCAAAACCTTCTTCGCCGTTTGAAATTCCGAAAAATACTTTTATTACTATTAACAACAAAGCCATCGGATGCCAAGCTTTTATCAAAATGGTATGCAATACAGTGCATACAAAGGGTAAGCAAGTATACTATATCGGACCAAATGCCTTCAGATTGTAGAATCTATATATTCTAACCTTAACTCTGCATTAATGAATAAAATAGAATACTGTTGATGAAATTTGATCCTGGTTTTTTTTCTTAATCAATTCTCAATTAGTTAAAAAGTGTGTAGTTCAAATCAAGAATACGTTGTTTCGATCTGTAGATGGAGTATGAGGCTAAAATGGAAAGACAATTTAGAAGAAAGGAGAAGAATCGTGAATGTAGCAGAAATTTTAGATACAAACAAAGAATAAAGGAGGATTGTTTAAAGAGAGGGAAGCTAGAAAAAGAAGTTTGCCTGCGAAGGTAAGGTAATTTGCTCATTGTTTTCTTCAGATCTGGTCCTAGCAAGCTCATTCTCCTAAGAAGGGCTTACCATCAACCGCGCCCCTGTCTACTGACGTCGAAGCTTGTCGTATTCCCACCTTTATAGTTTTGGGAGGTAAAAACAAGTAAGGAGGCGGAGTTCACACTTATAACTTTAGAGCAGAATGGGTGCAAAAAGTAAGAAAATGTTGCTATCAATATTTGACCTTGCACTGAAGTAGGGGCTCGCCCCTTGGTTTCTCTTATTGAATAATTTTCTTTTGCAGTTGTTGACCCTGGTGCGGCCCCTGAGTCTCCCTTTCAAGGTTGTGCTTTTACTGTCAAAGCCAAACTTTGTCTTTGGTTCTTGAATTTTCTCATCTTTTTTTAAATAAAAATATGATTAAGTTTAATCTGCAAACTTCTAGCCTGCTGTATGAAAGAGCGAGATTGAAGAATGCATTGGAAGAGTTGGCGAAGAACTGTTCATCTTGTTACAAGGCAATGGAATTCTTATCTTCATTTACTAATACATGTAATAAAGAGAATATGTTGACGAAGTTGCAAGAACAAACGAAACAACAGCCAAAAGCTAAGTAATTTCTGGCTTTGTTTAAATGAACAATAATTCCTTTCTTTTTGTATCTTATTCAGCAATGATATTATGATTTCTAGCAAAAAGAGCAGTAAACTTACTTTAGACTAGCTTTTCTTGTATTCAGTTTTGTATTAACAGTGTGAATTGATGAGTGATGAATTCTTGAATAAAAGACAATGTACCAGACATGCTTCTGTTGCCTGTAGTTTATTGCTTCTTAACTGTGATACCTGATGATACCGACCGATGAATTATTTCTGCAATTACATTTTTGTTGTTTTGTGCCTGGTGTTTTCAATTAATTTTCAATAATATATGATAAAGACCCAAAAGCAAAGTGTGTATTGCCCCAGTTTCTGTTTTTAATGAAGAAGTGCTGATGTAGCAAAGAATTTGAACTTAAAGTTCGGAGAAGCAGGTTGAAGTGATAAATCATGTCTGGAGCTAGATTGAATTTAAAAATGTATCTAGAAATGGTTCAAAACGTTTCCCGTAAATTAAACTGAAAGCAAGTTTTAACCGAAGCTGATTTAATCGTTTTATATCCATTTCAGTGGAAACAAATCCTTGCTAGCAACTTTTAAACGATTTATCGAAAACTTATCTACTAAAATTGGGGTTACTAAAATAAGGCCTAGCAATAAGTGACTTCTCCGATTATGTCAGGTCCACTGATACTCTTTCATCGGGGCAGTCTACAAAAGTTGCTTGGCTTTCAGTAATAAGAGTTTTCTTTGGCTTTTATCTCATTTATATGTCATTGAATTAGACTGTTGGAAGGTTTTCCATATTGCGAAACTTAGCAGTACTGACTGTGACTTTTAAGGAGTTTTGAAGTTCTGGCGTTTTGATAAGCGTGATTTAAGGCAGCAAAATGATGCCGATACTGAACACCAGCAAGTTCACATATTCACACTTCTACCAACTCAGATTTTTCATTAAGATAGCCTTGGCATAATTTATTACTTGGAAAGTTTCTTATTTAAGAGCAGGCCAGCTATTGTGCTTAAGGGGAAGGGGTTTCCAAGTCCCATCTGACAAAATGGGTGAGTCATCCTTTAATTGCTAGCAAGTTTGCGAATTTGCCGACTAAGCACCCCTAGATGGCAAAAAATTCCTTGTTTTCGCAATGGAATTTTTTTCAAGAGGGTGTCACACCCCACACGTCCCATTTAGCGTTAAGAGTTCTGTAGAAATCTCGACGAACCTTGCAGCAAATGGAAAACTTAAGCCAGAACAATACGGCAAACGCCTGCTTTTGTGGCAAGTAAGCCGTTCATTATTAAGCAGAAAAATTATTTCGCTCCTGCTCAATTAGGCAGGGGAGTTTCTGATCAGCAGCGTCACAATTTTCAGAATACTTTTGATCGCAGGTTTCCTCTTATCCAGTAGATTAGCACAGAATGTTGCTTGTTCTTTGCTGTAAAGAAACATCCGTAATTATCACCTTCGCTCACAACCGTGCTAAGCCTCGTGCGTCATTCTGTGCTAAGTTTTATCCACTTCCTGAGCACATTGCTCTGGAATGGTTTACAGGCATTTGGTTTTTGATTTTGACAAAGGTATTCGAATTAAGCCAAAAATCCTGTGAGTTTCACTGAGGGTTTAACGTCTTCCTTAAATGCAACAAAAAAAGTGGCAGATCCTTAAACAGCTAACGCCAATGTGAAAGCCGGATACAAGGGAGAATCAATTGGTGAGACTAACGAATTTTCTTCGCGCGACCTTCCTCGCTAAGATTATCCGCCGGTTGATTCAGGTTAAGTCGCAGAGGGACTGTGCATCTGCTAAACGAAAAGCACGCTGTGAGGAAGAGAATCTCTTCGCGAAAGTTGCATAAATTTCCGTTTCAGGTTAGAGTTTGTTTTGATTACCTGCTATCCCGCTCCTGATACCAATACTCGCCCGAATTTGTTTTGCAAAGAGAAGGTCCTTTGCCTCAAACGACTTAAAGCATTGCGGTTTAGACCTGTTCTTCTTTGTCACCTGTGGCCTCGTGTGAATCAGAAAGAAACGAAAGGAGGCCTCGCGTGTTCTCTATTCAATTATTCATTGACCATAGAGATAAAGATCAGCGATCGCCATATGGGAGATATTTAATTTTATAGAAAAACCTAATTCTCGTTGGCTACTGAAAATACTTGACACTTTTGAGGTTCTCTCATGTACAGTGACGCTGGTATCCTGAACACCAAGTAACGGAGAAGAAGAAATACCGTTCACAACAAATGGATCATTGAAACTTCATGTTAAATCTTCAAAACAACATGTCTGGGATAAATTTAGAAAGAGGAGAATCCTTTACAGTCAACAGATGCACGTGTTTATGTGTCAGTGCCAAGAAGGATAGAATGTGTGCGTTGACTATTTTAGGAGCTTTTGAAATAATAATAGCCGTAGCTTCAATTGGTTTGGGAAATTGGGCAGTTTTTGCTTATCCAGGACATATACGAAAAACGGCCGCTTTTAACTTCTGGTCAGGCGGAGCCGTGAGTATAGCTTCATCATATATATTTTTTTGATAACATTTCTTTGGTAGGTCGTATAGGAATTTTCGTTTTATTCCTATACAATTTCAGTAAGTCGGTCTATCACAATATCAAGCACTCTAAAACAATCTAATAGTTGCTACTTCATAGCTATGCAACCTCGTATTATAATCATTATACGTTTTCGCACGGAAACGTTTATACAATCCATAGGAATAGAGCTTGCCAATTTTGCTACTGAAAATTTATTACAGTTGTAAGATGTAGCTGTTTATTCTCCCTTTTCACAGCAAAAGCTTTGTTGGTTGTTTATATCTGTTTTATTCATTTATGTTAAAAAGACAGAGTAGACATTCGCAAATTTTTCGTTATGATAAATTCAAACCTTGTAACTGTCTACTCAGTCTTGTGATGAAAAGTCTATCCATCACCCTACACTACCCAGACTGTAGCCAGACTGTAATTATCTCGGCTCTTAGCATATTGAAGACCTTTAGTTTTAGGACCGCCCACCCTATCTCTGCCCCCCTCGCCAAATCCGCTTTGCACATGTCTCACATCTGGACAGTGCAGCAATAAAAGAAACATTGCTGCAATTTCGTGATTACCCACCGATAACGAAAAAAATGATCAAGCAGCAAATATTCAAAAAACAGCTTTTAACAAAGCAATGCCGTTGATCTACCTGCCTGTACAGAACACTCAATAAAACCACAACAAAGCATTCTAGCCCCACGAGCACGCAACTCGGAAAGCACGTGTTGATTTGCTTGGATTAGAACGTTCTATGAGAATCAAACCAACAACTCCTTCTTCAATTTTCTACCTCAATAATGAATTACAAAGGCATCACAGGTGTACCACGAATGCCGCATGCTTGTAAAAAGTAGAACTTTCGATGATTTTTCAACTCTAGCCGGTTATTCGCAATGCTTCTAGCCCGATCAAGGTGCGAAACCACGGTTGTAAATATCGGAAATAGTAGCAGAGGCCAAAATCACAAATTAGCATTCTTCCAAATACACCACAAGCAACTAGCGCCTACTTAAGAACCGTGGGAGCTTGGCACTGTGGGGGCTTCGCTGCCAAATGATTCTCACAATGTTAATGGAGCATCTCGTTGCAGCCCCTGTCGGAATTTCCATTTTTAGGACATTAGCAGATGCTTACAGTGAAGTGGCGGCTAGTAAAATTTTGTGAGGAAAACAGGCTTAAATTCAAGAACAGCTGATTTGGTGTGAGGAACGATAGGATAATCAGTATATTCAGTTATTCATAAGCCATAGTTTTTCGAAAAGGCGCTCCATATGTGAGTCGATTGGGTCGTTGGTTTTAATCTCATTTGAGTGAAGGCTTACCAATAGTTATTTAAAGAGGATATTGAGGAGAATATCGATATTAATAAAGTCTTTTGCATCTGCACAGCATAAATTATGTAAAGCGCTCCATTTCGAATTTTTAAAATGACTCACTCTAATAAATTAAAGCATTAAAAAGGAACACTGACTGTTAGTTTCAGTTTTATTGACAAAAATACCTGTAACCATACACTACAAAGCACATTACAACAAAACCTTTTTGCGGTATTAAATTTAAAAATGGCTCTGAAAAATTCAAACATTTTGAATCACACTTTAGCTTGTATTCTTATACTTCTTATACTCTTCAGAGTATAAAACATACGAACATAGATCGAACACTCTACGCTAATATCAGTCTATACCAAGGACGTTATTGACTTTAGCCTCCCAATAACTTCAAAAATATATTTAAAACCTTATAAAAATTGTCCTGCTCTTGGTCTTTAGCATGTTTAGCCCCCAAAACGTTTCAACCCCCTCAATCTGTTATATGCTCCACGGTCCTTGGCCTATACCCGGTTGTGGATCGAAATAGACCAATCAGAAACGTTATCGCATGACTGTCGAGGTTTCTCAATCTGGGCCACTTGCCTATTGAGAATATCACCAGTGAAATCCATAAAAAAAACGATCTCCTATTAACCCAATAGCAGTTTTTCATTGTTTATGTAGATGTTTATGTAGATAGATTCCAAAACTGCCTCATAGAACAACGATCGAGCTCTACCACAGAAATGTGGATAAACCTTACCATTTTTGGCTCATTGAAATTCCAAAAAACTTTTCAGGAGATGACCTCTTGAGTTGATGGCTGTGTTTTTAATAACAAACACCGATCTTGATTCCTAGGAGGAAATGGGTAAATTTGCAAAGAGTATATCCTAGCCATGTTAATCTAGCATTTGGTAACTCCATACTGAATTTCCTCTCCTGTTGCTTAACAAATTTTGATATTTCTTCTGGAAACCGTCTGAAACATCTTTGAACTAGCCTGGATCAATTGTCAAACGAGCAATTAGGTTATTTTCACAGTGGAGAAAAGGGGTAGCAACGGAGGGCAGGAGTTGGATGAGCAGAAGTTTTTGGGCTGTTATCTCATCAATGTCCAGTTATACCGTAAATGTTCCCTGTTTTCTAATTAGATCTATCTTTTTTGATGAGTTTTTAAAGAGCACTACGAAGGGTGTAAAGTTTCATAAGTATTTACTGATTAATGTATGTCACTTTTTTGGTAGATAATACTAAGTGGCATATTATCAGCAAGAGCATGGCGGCATGTGAATAAATTATGGGTGAGTCTCTGAAATTTGAATTTAAAAACTTCTCTTTTGTAACCAAGGGATCTTCTGTTATCGTATTGACCTTCAAGAAGAGTTTGGTGTTGATAAACTCTTTATCTTTGCTTATCAAATCACTGTAATTTAGTGTTGGCTCTTAAGTTATGAACCAAGCACAAACTACAGCAATGTTTCAGTTAAGTTTAGGTTTTCAATAGTCATACCTCAGTCAGACAATTTGGAAGACACTTGTAATCAATTTACACATTTGGATGTAGTAGCCTAGCTGAGGTGGTAAAATTGGGGGGCAAAGGCAAGTTGAGTATGGGGAAAATAGGGGTCCTTACACTTTGGAACAAAAAAATATGCCATTCTTCGATGATATTTTTTCTTCTTTTGCCTCATTTTCACTACGATATAAGAGTGTCGGATGCATGCTTTGGCACTTAGCAGGGGGTGGAAAAAATGATTCTTTCGAAATAGTGACACAGGGAGGAACTTAATAACGCGCTGTTGACAATGTTATATCTTCTGAAACTATTAGGGAAACCGGCCTCCACCCCCTCCCCGGATGCTACCCTTGTATGGTCCTTTTTAACAATGTATGTCAAATTGCAGGAATTTAGAATCAGATTTTTGCGAAAATTTTACTTTTCATCTAATATGAGGAAAATATCTGTCCTTCACAGTAAAGTGCTTTTAGCTTCTCGGTATATTCACATGCGCATTTTCCTTCTCAGATCACAACTACAGCGGTGGTGTCTTTTTTTACAACTCTTATGTACATGTCAAGTGGATGTTGGATGATCAAATTATTAATTCAAGAAACTGACAAAGACAGAAGTTCTAAAGCGTTCATTTTCTATGGCTTTAATATGACTGCAGCCGTACTTGGATTTCTATTCGCTGGCCTTGCAACTGCTGTAGCCTGGAGTGTGCGGGAACAACTGCCTACACGGAGGAGAGACCAGGTTTTTCTTGTTATTAATATTAATACCGACTTCTTGATGACTCTAAGTTTAAGCGATCTCCAGATAGAAACGGTTGGGTTGAGGAGACCGGCATCGCGGAGCAGGCCTCCCCCCTCACTTTTTGCATGAAATGCCAGATATTCAGTACTAAACTACCAGTAAAGCCTCTTTCTATACGGTTTTAGCCCCCCCCCACTTTTTTAAACCCCCCATTTTTCTCAACGCTCCGCGGTGCCTGAAAGAAGGATCAAACCAGTTCATTGCATTGATCAAAAGCATTCCCTGTCTACGGTTACCAATCTTAATCGCACGCCTTAATTCATTGAAAATTAGAATATGATCCTAGAAATTAATAAGGATATCATTCAATATTCCACAATGACCTTAAATTCTGTTTTTATCTCCAATAACACTCGAACTTCTAAAATCTTTCATCCAGGGCCTAATCCACTTTATTTCGTTTTCCTCAAAGGTCTTACATATGCTATTATATAGGGCTGAATATGATTAGCCTTATTAAGCTATTAAATCTGAAATAATACGTAAAATCTTGTCTTGTAAATGCTTTTTGCGGCGTTTTGGTAGCAATCTATATAACCTATTCTAAACATTATTTGTCTTCTTAAATCTAAAACTTTGAAAACTAAAAAGTATCAACAGCGAGTTTTTGTCCCAATGTGTCCCTTCTTTGCCTAAGGATTGTGGCAGCGAATGACAATTTTTGGAACTTATCACGTCACTTTAATTTAAAAGGGGTCAGATTTTTATAATTTTCGTTTGGCCCAAAATTTATTTAGGCTTGTTAGGCGGACCTTATGACCTTCATACCGAACTTTGGTATCAAAACTATCGGTGGTGTCCATAATGGTACAACATTGTTTTTGCATTAAAATTGTTGTTTCCATGGGCTTCATGCATATAAAAACTGATAACAAAATCATGAAGGGACGGAAATTCTTCTAGGATATCCAGCTATTCTATCAACTCAACTGTTAACACGAACCAGTGGGAAATTCTGCAATTATTTATCCATTAGATGTTTGATGATAAATCTAATGTTCTTAGATAGATCATTTGATTTTTGCATCTATCTAATTGATGAACAACAAAATTTGTGGTTGGTTTTGGCTCGAGGAATGAAGCAAAATCTTTTGCGCGTTTTGCATAATGATAAGTGTCCATATTTTGATGATGACTAAAAATTGACATTGTTTTATTCAAAGTCAAAACTTATCGTTCCATTGCAACTTTTTTGCAGGCTGGCAATCAGGTAGCACCAACATCAGTGACATCATTCAGTAACGAGGATTTTCGAAGATCAATGGCAGAGCTACAGGGCCCTCCTCCACCTTATGAGCCTTAAGCGGATAGAAAAGACTTGGCTTTCTGCTTTTGTAGCATTTTGAAGAGGTTCACACCAGACTCCCAGATTACACACTTCTTTAATAATGAGAACATATTTTATAAAAATATCGACGCATGTGATTTCTAAGTTAAGTAATAAATCCATGCTGAAAAACTACTAATTAAAATCAGGTCAGATTTTCATCAGTAATTGCATGCTACTGCAAAGTCTACCTTTTTTTCATTTGCATGGCGTCAGTTTAAGAATAAAGAATAACAAATGTTTGAGAATATCTGGTATTCTTATAAAAAGGTGTGCAATGGTCAAAGAATAAATGAGTTTGAGTCAAAAAAGAGCTTGAAGAGATTCCAAACTTTGAAATGAAAATTCAGACATTCAGAAACGTCCTATCTTCCATACTTCTCGCATGGGTTTGCATGCTCTCGACGAAAATTGTGCTTCTTTTGTGAAACCGAGGTTTGATACTGAAAATGGTATTATTTGAACTGCTTGCTTCACTGTTCAGCTAAATATTTGTTATATAGTCTGTTTTAAAAGCTAAATAGTTGATTTTGTCTCCTTTTTTCTAAGCGTTTTCCTCCCTTCCCGTGTAAGGGTTTTGCTATAGGCATTCAGGTGTCTCCCAAGCATTACAACGAAAAACATTTTAACTTAGATAATAATGTCAGGGCCGACATGGGAAAAGGGCCCCAAAATTTTTTCAATGGCAATTTCAATCTTTTTCATTTTAACAGTGTATTTAAAGTTTTTTATACTTATCGTTCCTTTTTTCATCTCATTTCCTCGTCTAAAGAGCTGTGTGTCGTCGATGTTCAGCCATGTTCAAAAGACAAAAATTCTTGAGAGGTGGTAAGAATTAGTTTCAAAGTTATCTCTTGTGAAGATTATCGTTCTTTGCTTTATCTTTTCCTCAGAAAAAAGGTTTAGAGCACAGTCTACTGATACTTTGTTCTGTCTTTACTGTAGTTTTTTAAATAAAAATGTAAATTTGCTAATTAAATTATTTGCAGGTTTAATTTGAAGCTTTAAAATTAAACCAGTGAAACTTTTATTTTGTCGTGTGTCTCTCTCATTGCTATTTTTAGAATCAGTTGCTATTGATGAAAATATCAAACGTAATAAGATATTATCAATTGCAACAATCAAAAGCTATTTAAAGAAAATGTGATGTAATGCAGGGGTTAAGCGATATTTGGGTTCAGGGGCGGATCCAGAGTAAATTTGAAGGAGGGGCAGTCGGTGGAGTGGGGGCGCTGAATAATTTTCATAAATTGGTGACGAGAGTACGCTGTATTTCAGAATAAACAACATAACTTTGAGGTAATCGTTGAAGCAAATTAACCTATCGGTCTCAGAAACTTTTTCACCTGATTCTCATTTTTCAAAAGGGGCGCACAATTTCCAAAAGGGGGCGCCAGACTCGTCGAGGGAGGGGCAACTGCCCCTAGTTGCCCCCCATTAAATCCGCCACTTTTTGGGTTGAAGGGTACCTCGCCACATCATGGCTTTTAATTTCTGCCACTTTGTAAATCCACTTCTTAAAAGTATAAGATATTTGTTCAGATAAGCATCTCTCTTTTGCTAAGGACAGGACGTGTTATTGACAGAGCTTGCTCTTTTGTCATTTTGGTAATTTGCTAGATCATTTGTATTAAGATTTGCTTATATGACAGCAAAACTACAAAAAATCAATGATCTGCCAAAGTTTGAGAAAATTCTTGAACACCTTTGGTGGTCAAATTCATACAAGTATCATCCTCCACGAAAAATGGTTACTTTTTTTACTAGGGTTTTATACTAGGGAGGTTGAAAATATAAGATATTTGCTCACCAACAAATTCCAGCCCCATTGATAACAACTAATTGAGAGCTTTTAAAAGAATTTCTATTGCTAAAATTTTCGTATCATTTTTGTGTACATTTTACACTTAGGAATTAATAACTTTACAAGCATCAATTTCAGAAATTCATTCCAAACTTAAAGTCAAACTCAATACAAAAAAGTTAAGATAAACAACATTAGATTTACTTAATTAGCTGATGGACACATGGAAAGAATTCAAGACAGAGCTATCAAAGCAATGTGCCCAGGTAAACTATCATAAACAGTTGAAAGGATTACAAACTTGGCATCAAAACTGTGTCAGTAAAGCACATCAAACACAGTTAGCTTCCAGAGACAAAGTAACAAAAACACAAACTCTAGCATAGTACAGAAAACTCTTAGTGTCAACACACTTAGTATAATTTACTTCATATTTTAAAAAAGTTAACCAACTCTAAATGTATTGTGTGTTAGTAAAATGCCTAAAAGCAGAGGTATATTGACTGATAATCAATGTTACATGTTCAATGTGTTGTATAGGTACCACATGGAGCTTTTATGCAAACAGTTATCTATGAGCAAATACTTGATGACACCTGAACAAGGTGTTAACACATATTTTGGAACCCTGCCATGCGCTATTTCTTCAAATAGAAAAACTACTATCTGATTGGCTAATGCTCAATATTCTGTCTATGAGGTTCTGTCCATGAAATCTTCAGACAGATTATGTCTATGTCCCTATTGCAAGTGACAACTCCAGATTACAAAGGTGCACTCTGTTAAAATTAAATAGGGAATTTGTACATGAATGAAAGAAAAGGACCATGTTTCAAGCATAACATTTCATCAGGACTGACTTTGTAGTTTCAAAGTTTTGACATAGAATGGGGTATATACTCTGCACCCTTGGTTTCTTTTTCTATGGATAGGTAGGCTAAAACTATTAATTCCTTTTTGGTAATGTGGCTGGTAACACAACAAGGGTGTTGCTGTGAATGTTGGATTGCTAGTCTAATCTACATTTACAAAATCGATTTTGATGTGACCTTCTTTGTTCTAGCCCTTTTGGTATCAGCTCCCGTATATCTCAAAATAACACCACCAGTAGTTGGAACTCGGGTAAGTAAGTCAGCCCCAATTAAATCATGAATGTGATACTTCATACCAAGTTTTGAATGATAGTTGATATTTCGTTGTTCAAGCTCCATTTCAAAAATCTCTTTGAATTTTCTTTTTCTTATTAAGGATAAAACAGCTTTCCGCCCAGCAAAAAGACTTTTCATAAACAAAGCACTACCAGGAATAGATATCCACCAGCTTTTAACATCTCTGACATTAAGAACACCTAGATTGACCAGCACTGTGACCATTTGATCATTTAAAATAACCTCCTTTGTCTTTTCCTTTTGAATACTGACGTCTTTTATTTCTGGCAGGACTGAAGTTAAAAATTTCTGGACTAGAGGATTTTCCCCATGACCTCGTGCACCGGCACAAGCTTTCACGTGGTCCACATAATCTTGAGTGTAAATAATTGCAAATTCATCCGTTCCTGAATCGAGTTTAAAAAACCGAATGCTACCATTGTCCCTTAGCGAGTTCAATTCCCTGTCAACAACAGTTTTATCCTCTAAGATACTATAAAGCTGGTGCTTCATCACGATAGGTGGTAGCTTGAAAGCAAATTTTTCTCTTGGAAACATCTGGGTTAGGTGATCAAGAACTGCCTTCGTATCATTTGGAATTTCGGGCAACGGCTCGAGTGTAATTTCAGTAAGGAAACTGTCGTTGAACTTCCGTTTCCTGGGTTTTCCAATTCCTGATAAAGACCCACGCAACATCGCTGACATATGAAAATACAACCTATATTTCTTCCTTTTCCATTCTTGTTTAGGATATCATCAAGTTAAAAACAGCTGATTATGTACAAGGCCTACTTTTCATGTAGTTGTCGTTTCCATTGAGCCTCGTAATCATGCACCTGGTGTAATGTTTTTGACAGAGCATTATGAAGGTATGGACTCAACTGACAAATATCTGATTAAAGTAAAGTAACAAATACTCCATTTCTACTAAAACAGGTTTTTCCCATTTCTATACTTTCCACTACAGAACTGACTTAAATCCTTACTTCATAGACAAAAACTTTTAGAAACTAACAATTGTTTATCTGGGGGATCCTTGCCCATCCACATCCCTACAATTTCCACCCCTGATGTAGCCTACAGCATAACAACTCACTTTTGGCGTGATTACCTTTCGTCTCACAAAAGAAATGAGCTTTATGCAAAATCTTTTAGTTGTCTTTGATTTGCCCCCCTCCCCACCCCCAGTTTCCAACTTGCCTCGCAAATGACCCTTTATTCCCAATGCATAAGATAGCTGAAAAGCTAAGCAAATCAGCTTGCCAAAATGATGATTTTTGGATGAAAATGTTTTTAGCGCAATCAAAGGTTTTCTATGAAAAGAGAAGACCATTAAACCGATTTTCTTGTTTCTATCTGGCAAATATTTTGCTTAAAAAGTCTCTCTTTTTCTCAGCTCAGAAAACTGCCAAAATATAAGACTTGCCAAATTGACGGTTTTTGAATAAGATTTTTTTAAGTAAAGAAAGCTTTATACAGGCAAGAGGAGATGATGCAACCCCGTTTCCACGTATTCCACATTTATCTGGCTTATACTTAATGTAAAAATAATCACCTTTTCTCCGCTCCAAGAACAGCCAAAAAACTAAGCCTATAGACTTGCCAAATTGTCGGTTTTTGGATAAGAATTTTTTAAGCAAAGAAAGCTTTTGATAGGCAAGAGAAGATGATGCAACCCATTTTCATGTATTTTACATTTATCTGGCTTATACTTAATGTAAAAATAATCACCTTTTTCTCCGCTCCAAGAACAGCCAAAAAACTAAGCCTATAGGCTTGCCAAATTGACGGTTTTTGGATAAGAATTTTTTAAGCAAAGAAAGCTTTATATAGGCAAGAAAAGATGATTCAACCACCTTTCCTTGTATTCCACATTTATCTGGCTAATATCAGTGATTTGTGGGTTTGTTGTTGTTTGTTCTCGTAACGTTGCGGTGTTCCTTATAAACTACAAGAAACTAAGCCTTGATAAAATGATGGTTTTTATAAGACTTTTTCTAAGCAAAGAACGGTATTATCAGAAAGGAGAAAATTTATTGATAAAATTTATTTGTATTTCAAGTATATTTGGCACATATTTGACGGAAACATCTTCCCTGTTTTTCGGGAAGCTTGGGACGAAATGTTTTCAAAGGGAAGAATATTTTTCTATAAAAAAGGATCAATTTTTTCATGTTTCATTTTACAACAGATGATCACTATATTCATCTTAAGTATACCTGTACTTAGTCTTTGAAGAACATTCACCCAAAATAGCTCTAAAATAAAGGACAAAGGTGTATCAGAGGGTTTCGATGTTTATCAAACGCCTCGTCAACATGAATTACGAGAAATATTCGTCTGAGGAAATGTCTCCAACTGATTTGAGAAGGTTTACTCACAGCTGTCACATTCACTCAATGATCATTGTCCCAAATGATCACAGCGATAGAAGTGAATCACTTAATCACTTGACATTTGATCTTCGTACTCGATTGAGCATTTGAAGAAAATCACAAAAAACCAATGATATCCAGCAGTGTTTTTTTAACATTAATTACAAATACAATCTAAATATCTAAACAATAAAATAAGATGTTAGCAGACGGCTGATAAGTATCAAACAGTCCCGAATGCTGTTAAAAGCATTTTACAAAACTGTTTTCATAACAGCCACGTAACTGAATTACAAGAGACTAAAATAAGAAGAGATGAACGTTACATAAAAAATGAAGTTAACAGATTTTGTCACATGAAACAAACAAAAATCTGGTAATGACTCATATTTCGCCAAATCAAAGCTCGCTTTTTGAGTTTGATAAATTCTAGGAAGTTTGGAAAACTTCAACAAACATGTAGCTGCCTTGCAAAAGTGACGGGAGTTCGCAGATACAACTGTTCAAAGGCCAGCATACAGGAAAATAATGTGGCATCATAGAGTTGCGGGTATGGAAAAGTTAAGAATTCTGATGAAGAACGTGCTAAGCCAATATCAAGGTTAAAACCATCTAAAAACTAAATCAGCTGGAAACATGAATAATAAGAAAAATTTAAATGCGTAAAAATGACTCTATTTTATCTAAAGCTCTCTACCAGCTTTCTTCAATCCTTGCTGCAAGAAATTGTAGTAGTTGGAACTGACAGGATCATCAAAAACACTGCCAAAAAAAAGAAATTGCCATTGTTTGAAAAAGTAACACAAAGAGAAAAATTTTGATGTTGAGGCATTTTGTTAGAAAGCAGAACGGAAGGCGAAGGAATAAAGTTCTAAAATAAATGCTTAAGTTTGGGAAATAGATATTTTCAAAAAGATTTATATTTGGGGAGAGAAAATTGATTATGACATTCTTGATTGCAGACAACAAGATTTATTTGTCGATCCTCAAGTCCTTTGTCCAATGATATCATGACCAAGATAAAAAAATTGTTTTGAAAACGATAAAATTATTTTAAGGAGAATCTTGTCAAACTAATAGAAAGCTTTTAATTAATGCCTGTTGAAACAGATCGCCCAGAATGCTACAAAATGATACTAGGAATGCTAATAGACTGATAAGGTAGATAGATGGAGTCCAACTGAGTAGTTAAAGTTAGGCAAAGCTGTATGGTGTTATTATAAATAAAGGTAACTATGGCCTAGCAAACAAAAAGGTTTATTTGTAAAAAAACAGACATATCGTTTGCAAGGATGGAGCTGAAAGGAACAGCAAACCTGGAAATAGAATTCAATGTTTGCGATGCATCCAATAATTCATTTGCGTTCAAACTAGAAAGAATCGTTCCATTTGGGTACTGAACCATTGATTGAACAGGGAACCTGCAAAAGAAAAAGAATAAAAGTAACCTGGGAAATCAAACACTACAAGTTGAAATGGCCCCATACGATAAAAAACAAATATTTAGGATATTCTACATCGTTGTCTCAACAAGAAACCTTTCTTCCACGTGAACAGTTTCGATAATTCTATCATCCCGGTAATCGTTATATTGTCAAAAATAATTTCAGCAAATCTCAAAACGCCCACTTTCAACGTGACCTGTAAACACTTACTTATATCCTTCCAGACCAATATCTGCAAGTTTTCTAACATCAGCATCAGTGCTGTTTGCAGAGAGGTCCTGAAAAGCGAATGTACACATGTTAAACCTGAATACATCCTATTAAAAGTAAGAAGGTAAAATAAAGAAATATATTTATAGAGATATACTCGATACATTTTGAGGTGCTTTACAGCTTGAAATAAGCTTTAATTACGTTACAAGCAGTTTTAAAAAACTACTAAAAATCTGAATTTGATAAGAATTTTTGTTCATATTTTGAAGTATGCTCTTAGCATTTAAAAAAAAATTCAGGAAATATCTCTGGCAAATGTGATGAATATTCAAATATGATTTCAGACGACAAATATACACCCATTGAAAATGCTTTTTCGATGTTGAAAGAGACCTTAACTTGATAAAAAGTCTTCATAATTCTTAGAATGCTTCTAGTCCAACCTATTTTCAGCAGTCTGTGCATCATGGGGGCTCTTTGATGACCAAAATATTCTTTTTGAGACGGTAAAAAGATATAATCACCTTGAGCTCTGCAATCAAAGACCACGAGCTTATGAAGTGCTTTTTGAGCAACTTCAAAATGGGCGAACTCTCCAAAGGCCCTTCCCGGAGAGTTCGCCCGGAACCTAGGAGGAAATCGGTATGATAAAAAGGGTCAATGTGATTTCATGCAGGTAGATTATTTGAAAAGATACAAATGATGAAAGTAGAGATATAATCATTGATTTTGAGCAGTGGCGGAGACTTGGTCAAATATTGGAGAGAGGGGGGCAAGCCTATTGTATTTGTCCGTTGTTTCAGAACAAATACCTCTGTCTTCAGTCTCCGCCCTACTGGATCTGCGTGCAGGCTATGTCCGCCCCTGATTTTGAGAAATATGCAAATAATATCTCTTACCTGTCTAGAGACTCACTTAAATGAATAGTTGCTTCATGACAGAACTTTGTCATTAGAGATTCAAAATCATATACGCTATAGAAATGTTGAAGAGATCAATAATAATTATACGCTGAGAAAGGTAAGAAGTACCATTCGGTCAGCTATTATTAAGTTACCATATTTACAATAAAAACAGCTGTAAATAGAAAGCTTTGAAATCACTTTAGAATAATACGAAAGCTTAAAAGATATGACAGCAAAGGTAGATAAAACTTGGCAATTAAAAGAATAACAAACCAGAGAAAAAATTATGGATGCTTACCTCAGCATGACTGGTCGTCTAAAGCACCCCAAAGTAAAATGTGGTGAACAAGTTTATCTTCATTTTGAGCTCTCTGATACGTTTTGTTGAAAGGTAAATACTCAATCTGAAAAGCAAATAAATACTATCAAGCAAAAAACTCAATCAACACTGAATAGATAAATTGTTCCACATTGTCTACTTCTAGGATATCAATCAAAAGCTTCTTCTTCAACACTCAAGGTTCTTTTCATGTAAAAAATAAAAGGGCAGACGAAGAAAATAAATTATGGGCAGCAATATCATTTAAGGCATAGCATTTATGTAAACATCAATATGTTTGACACTGCTGGATCGACAACTTTAATATAAGACAGCAGCTCAAATATAAAGCTAAACTCCTATCTTACATTTCTTTTTATTTCTATATTACGATTTTTCTTAGTTTGTTTCTTATTTACTTCCTTTAATTTCTACTGACTTGCCAATTGTGTATCAAAATGTTTTTTGGTTCATTTGAATGGTAGGTTACATGCAATTTAGATATTTTTTTAGAAATTTTCGTAAACAGAGAATAGGACAAAGTAAATATTGCGATGACCTGGAGATTGAAGAGCTATCAAACAAGTTGAAAGACCAAGAAAAATAACTCAGATTTTTTCTCTGGTTTACTTTACATAGAAAGAACGGGGAACTGGCTTTCTCTTTTATAGAAAATATATCAGTGGTCGAAAAATATATGTCATCGTAGTATACCTCCTGGAAGGGATAAAACTTTTTCTGTAGTATTCTCTTCGCCTCGTATGGGGAAATTTCGTTGTCCCATGCAAATTGTTCCTTTTGCTTCCTATTTTCACCAATTCTCCGGCTTGGAAATTCATTTTCAAGGGACATCTCAGGCAAGTATCCTGTTAATATAAATAAAACCTTTGAAAAGGGCAAAAACTCAATTAAACCCCTTTTCTGTAAACATTTTCGAAGTTAAGCAAGGGTGGTGTTATATAAAGGGCAACATCGTCGGCTCTAATTTGTTCAAACAAAAAATTCCAACGTAAAAACGCCACCGATGAGAACATAGCACAAGAATAAATACGTTAGGATACAGAATATTATAAAACGTATGGAGAAGTAATTGCAACCAAGGACAAGTATGACTCAGAGCATTGACTATGCCCAGAGCGTGTCAAATATAAACAATAGTTTGATAAACGTTCTGTGAACGAATATTTCATTATCTATGTCCTTTTTCTTAGACTGTAGAATGAAGTCCTAGATTTTTTTATCCCGTTTAAGGCCTAGGAGGCATCCTTACATTTGAAAATACGCTTTAGATTCTTCATAATTTCCCTGTCTTGATGGTAAATTAAGAGCCATGAAAGGGCCCAGCCAACCTTTACACTGGCGTGCTCCTAACTTTTCAATCAATATTTTGACATGTTTTACTCTGAAGAGTGTCAGACGAAAGATTTAAGCATGTTTCAAAACATTTGCCTCGTTTCCAAGCAATTCCTAAATTTACCAAAAAAATTGTTACCAAATTTCAACCAAAAAAAAATTGTTACATGACTTACCTATATCAACCTCCATTTCCCAAGGATCACTTGCTTGGTCTAAAATAACAATAAAATAAAAATGTGTGGTTGTCAGCTAAATTAAAGGCAGTGTGTTGCGCTGTTCAATGGTTTACAGAAAATTAAATTTCTATTCAGTGAAGAGCAGGACATACTACCTTTAATGAATTTTACTTGGTTTTACTCTAAATAAATTACATACAAAATCATAAAATTTGCAAAACAATACTTGAAACACAGCAAAGCTATTAAATGATAGGAAGTTAAATCAAAATTTATCAAATAAACACGAATCAGAATGATAAGTCAAAACTTAGAATTATTTATTTTAAAATTTGAGAGACAGCCCTTGAAAGACATGTTTAGGAGACATTTACCAATGACTTTCTTTTTTCCAGTAATCCATTCCATGTCTGTAATAAAGTAAAAACACTATGAGCATAACAGAAATTGGAGAGCATAGTTTATCAAATAACCCCTTAAAAGACACTTTTCAGCAGTAAAAAGCAAAGAGCATGATTTAAAAATAGTTAAATTCCTGACTATTCCATTCAATCTCTATAAAAAACATGATGCATGTAGGTCTAGCCTGAAATAGCCCCCAAATTCACCAAGGGTATAGGATGAAGTTGAAAGGAAGGATTGAAAAAAAAAATACAAAGAAAGGAATTCATGAAGACAACCTCATTGTAACAATGAGTCCTGAAAGACTTTGACATATATATAGCTGTTAAGAATATTGCATTTGATAATAATTTGTTAGGGGGAGCCTGGCCCTCAAGATGCTATGCCTTTGTAGCAGCCAAAAGAAAGTCAGAGAAAAGAAGAAAAATCACTCTTAGTTTACTCAAATTGCATCTACAGCTAATTTTACTTACCTACATTCAACTTTTTATCATTTGGTACAAAAATATGAAAATGTTCAATATGCTCCCCATCTTTGCTTATGATAATGTTTCCAGTAAATTGTGCTGGTGTAAACCAGAATGGGAAGTTTGGTGGCTCATTCATTTGAAACTCTGCATGCACCCTACAAATAAAAATATCTTAAAAGAACCACAGATACAAATCGCTCCTTTGCTTCAGCTGTCACCTTCCAGATGCATCTTCATGCTTTGCTCCCCTACCTTATTCATGTCAAAATAAAGAATCACTTTAGCAGCACTGGTACAAGATTAATAAGATGTTAGGTAGCCAAAACAAAAGTTACAATTTTTATATCTTTAAGGCTCATTTGATTTTCTATCAAAATGATTCATCAGTCAGAAAGTAATCTTAATGAAATGTTTAATTCACATTAACTCTCTGGCAAGATCTCAACTCTAGTTACCTAAAAACTATGTCATAATAGTCCTTTGTTATCCCTCTTAACACTGCCATTGTTCCTTGAGGTGCAAATCTATTCAGAACAAAAGGTTGTGGCCAAAACATTGTCAGGATATTCAAAAGCACTCTTTCTTTCTCCCCCGTAGGCTTTTCTGGATAGAAACGATTGTGGGAAAGCCCAGGCTCTGTGTCAGAAAACAAATGACAATATAACCAAAAAGAAAATATCAAACAGTAATCATAAGACTTTTCTGGATCATCATTAGCAAAATGATACTTTTTATGTCAAATGAAACATCAAATGAAAAATTACAAAACGTTAAATGAAAATTCAGTGAAAATTTTCATATCAAATCATAACTAGAAAACTATCTATTTAGCTAAAATGAGGCACATTAGCACTGCATGGCCAGGATGTACCAAGTGATCATGCTATTAGATTATGTCATTAGATTAATATGTAATTTTGGAGAAAATTTGCTTCAACCAATCAAGATCTACAGGGAAATACAGAATAAAACAACATTTACCATATCTTGAAGAGATTGGCAGAACAACATCCCAGGCTTCTCCCACCTTCACATTCCCTTTTGGGAGAAATATGTTCAAATCTTTACAGGTAAAATTAAGCTCTTGAATAAATGGCTTTTGCCAGGATTTCAATCCTTTTAAATGAACATCACCCATTGGATCAATCTAAAATTGAAAGAGCATTGAAGATATGAAAAATTTTGATAAGCACTCATGGAACCAAAGCAATGAGCATATTAGTTTTACTTCTAAACTTTTTTGCAATAGCAGGCTGATAGCTTTTGTGCAAGCTTCAAATTTGGTTTTTTACATGACTCATAACCATCACTCTACTTCTTAATCTCCAATTTTTGTTTTTCTCCAACATCCCCTTTCTTCTGCATCGTAGTAGGACATCATTTATTAATTCTTTTGTTTAATGTTTTAATACAAAACATAATGTTCCAAAATCAAATGTTTTTCTAACAACTTATTCTTTTAAATCTCAGTTTCAGATATAAAAACCCCGGCTTATTTAACCCTTCCTTTGAAATTAAATCAGACAGTTGGATGCAAATTTTACGTTTTTAAGAGAGAAGCGCGACAGATGTTCCAAAAAAATTACAAAGCAATACCCCTTGCAAATCATGTTTGCTCTTTGACATAGTTTCTAGTAAAAGTGGCTTGAATTTAGCTCTCAGTGTTATGTATTCTACATCTTGGGGTAGTTTTGCATTGATGAGTTTTTCTTTTTTTAACTTTGTGTCAACCTAGAAAGCAAAAAATACTAATTTTAGCTGATAAGCAAATAACATACAAAAATGTTACTTGAAACTCAAATAACTAAGAGATTACTTGAAGAGAGTAAAAATTTGTTAAATAATATTTTCTTTAGTTTTCAGTTTTGCTTTGCTACTTAATATACAAAACATATAAAATTCAGGTATGTTATGCTATACACGGGACCGTATCTACTATAGACTAATACAAGAAGTAAGAACAAATACCTCTTCCTCTGTTATATGCTTCTCATGCTCTTGACTTGCTAGGATGAATTTTTTCACTGCGTCAAATTCAAATATATCAAGGTATCGATCACCATCTTGGTCATAATTGTTGAAGAGTCGTAATGTATCCTTGCTAATGCTTCCGACGACTCGATCTTCATAATTCAAAGATGAGTGGATCTCATTGATGATCTTATAAAAACCGCTTATTGAGATGCAGATTGCTATTATTCCAACCAAGAATGCCAATTTTGTGAGAAGAGACATTCCACTTCTGTTTGGCGCGACGATTCTTCTCCGTGTCAGGCCTAGAAAAACGTAACCATCATTTCCTGTGTACAGCAGCTCGTTGAAACTTTTAAGCGATTAATCAATTTTTTCTTTATGGCTCATTTTCCTTTCAAAATTCTTAAGGTATGGAATATGATTTTTTCCCTCTCGGCGTCCTCAAAATGCTAAGATCAATATCTTCCACACGTTGACCACCAATCGGATCCGGAAGCTTTCGTTTCCACGAATTTCCATTGTTTCCCTGTAATTTTTCTCCTTCGCATAAGTCTCTCTTTGTCATAGAGATCTTCCTTGTTCAGTTTCCTATTGTTTTTGTAATATTGTTTAATCAAAACAATAGTAGGTTCATGGTGCAGTGGCCTGCCCTCAAGCAAAATCTCGGGTCAAATCTCCCCCTCCAGAACCCTGAATTGAACGTCTGATTTCTGGAACGTATGTTAATAACACGAAACCCTGTTTTCATTAAACAATATAAAATCCTGACTTCTGGGTATATCTTGAGGCAAGTTTCCTGTGGCTTGTACAGGGAGCACATGTTGCATCTCTTTATGAATATGCTTTGATTATTCCCTTTTTTAAACAATATAGCCTGTGAGAAGGGGTGTGGTGATATGAAAAGAAAAGGACAGGTCTTAACGAAAAGTTCTAAAAAATCAATACCAAGGGGTAGGAAGGGGTAACTTTCAATCGTCAATAAGGGGCCTCGGGTCCTAGCTCTTTCGTTGCGTGGCTCTTTCATTAATAATAGCAACGTTCTTCTAACTGCAAGTTCTTTCCATCTTCTAACATTACTAATAAAACCAGTTTTCAAGTGTATCATAAGATGAAAGTGAACTTTCTCTCAAAACCAATGACATCAAGTTTGAGTAAATTTTCTAATTGTTCTTTACAGAGGTGAAAATTCATTTTTCAGATGGGATGGAAAACCTCCAAAAACAAGGAAATATGCTGAAGCGGTCTAAAAGCTTTATACAAAAACTTGATCTAAATTTGGCATTGCTTGACTTGCGAAATCGTCCCGTTTCCTTTTTTTGAAAAAAAGATTCAACATACTCTTCATGCTCAATAAAGACTAATCAAAATGTAATTTAAGATAAGATAAGAATTGTTTCTAATACTTGGTGAAATTTGGCATTTCCAACTTATACTTCAATTTCCCCAAAATGAGGGCTTTCGATCACTGTTATACCCTATCAATTCTATTGTCTGTGCAAAACGAAGAAAGGTAAAAACTAGATCTTAAAATTGGGTTGTATGGTGTGAGAGTTTCCAACAACGCGAGAAAAATGTATGATTCCAGAAAAAGTGAAGAATGTCTTTGTGCTTTCAAAAACGCGCAATTACAGTTACAATGTTTTGCAAAATGGCAACCAATTTTCCATTGCACAGAGGTATTGGCGCATATTTAACGCTGTATTGGTCTTCATGAAAAGGTCATCTTAATTTTCATTAACATTATTGAGGAGTTGGCGAAGATACTCAACCCACCAGGGACAAGTTATTTCTCGAGCAAGCTCGTTGTTTGTTGATACCTCTAGAATGCTTGAGCCTCCCCTCCCCTTCCACACGATAGTACACTTTTGCGGACGCTACCCAACCCCACTCTGTGCATTTTTTTTTATACTTTATTACCACAGGAACTTTACATAAGCAAAAAGGCCTCTAAATCATTTTATCAAGGCAAGACAGTAAAAATACAATTGACGCTTTATAAACAAGAAATACTGAGTGCAACACAAATTGAATGCAGCATATGTCTTTGCAATTTTATTACATTTAGGGATTATAATTGGCTAGAAAATCAATATTCAACTTAAACTAGCTTATACATCATTCTTCTTTGATTATAGATTAGAAACTAAAAAATTAAGATATTTACACTAAAATACTGATTATGTAAATTCAGGAACACAATACAAAAATAAAATATGCTCCAAATATAAAATTTTTAGGTGAAACACAGTAATATAAATAGTCTCTTTAAGTAGAGGCTTAAATTCAAATAGAAAGGGGGATACGTTAATGCTAGAAGGAATATGAGAAGGAAAGCACTGGAGACTGATACTGAATGGAAATCAACTTTGGGAACGAGTAGTAGAATACATTTCTAACCCTTCGAAAACTCCAGCTCCGTTTTCTACCGTTTAAGTAATGTGAATTATCTTTATTCGCCTCTTCTTTTAGCTTTGTTGTTTAGCTAAACCCCGGTATTGCAATACAATATGAATATGCCAAAAATTGAACTCACTAACTAAAAACGTAATCAGCGCATATCTAGAGTTGGTATCTGGTGATAGAATTTTTCATGTGCCGATCAAAAGAATGCACCCCAGCAAGCCATTATGTCAGTAAGTTACTTTCGCTTGCTTTTACTGGATAAAATAATGAAATTTGCCTTGTTTATTACTAGAAAGAGAATGTTTAGGAAATCCACGAAAATTAACTCGTGCTACGAAAAGAAGGTCAAAATACTCTAATTACAACCTTGCGAGCTAAAATTCATATGAAATCGACATCGAATGCCTATGATATACTCTCATCTAAAAAATAAATACCCATTCTATACGCCGTGTTGACCTGGGGTTAGAGGTCTAAATCATCGGAAAGAAAGGGGGTTCTAGAGAAAAGGAGGCGCCAATCACCCCAATGCAACTACTACTATTTTAAACACTGATATATCTTGCTTGCAAGTCTATATCCCAGTTCTCGCATATTCCATCTGTAGAATACGACAGCTTTTTGCTCTCCTTTTCTGTTTATTTCTTTTCTTTATCAAGAATTCGCTTTTCTTGATATCAATTTTTCAGTGATAACAAAAGCATTTAGCATTGCTCACGTTTGCCAAAATCGCGTGAAAATTCATGCATAACAAATAGCCAAGACCTCTATAAAGTTGCAGGTCGTTGATTATCTACCACCCCCCACAGCCCCAATTTGTCGGCCCAGTCAGCCTGAACCAATTCTCAACGAACGTTGCAAAACAATGGTTTGTATAAAAAATACACCTTTGAGAAATCAAACATCAGTCTTCTTCATTCTGTTGTCTAAAACTGGCATCTTCACTCTCAAGATGCCCATTTCCTTTTCTCTCTTCTCCATTTCTTGCTGCATGGCTTGGCGATACTCTTCAAACCAGAAGACAACTTGCTCTAGTTCTTTCATATATAGACGCTTTAGCATGGTTTGCCAACAGTCAAGCTCAGGAAGACGAAACATGTCCCACTAAAACCAAGGATATCCGTTACAGTATTAAAACCAAAAATTGGTACGTTTAAGGGAATAACTTACATTGTTACAGGAATAATAGATAACAAAGCAATTTTAAGGAAGGGACAAACATACGACTAAAGACGACAAGGTAGGTCACTGAAATCAAGAGAGACTTAAATACTACACCCAAAACCCCCTCTTTTTGTGGATTTTGGCTCCGGGGAAGAACGAACCGTAAATCTTTGCTCTTGTTATTAAATTAAGGGGAAAAAAATATCTAGGAAATGAATAAAGAAACTGGGAATCTGAAGTCTTAGGACATGAGAACAGAAAATTTCATTGATATAGATTTACAGTGAAACCGAATATATGACATTATTAATAATGCAATTTTCCATGAATATGCTCGTTTCGGAAATAATGATTAAAAATTGCTACAAGTTTTAAACCCCATACAGGCCTTGTTAATTTCAACCTTATAGTTAAACAATGAAAAAGAAACGAGGAAACAAAAATTAAACATAGAAGGAGAAAACACTTACTTTTAGGTATTCATCAAGCTTAGGAGATGCCTTGGCGTATACCTGAAGCCATTCTGGTATTTCTAAAAAGTTCAAATTTAAAATAGTGTTGAATGTGAGTCAGTATGAACAGAAGGATGGGAAAGAGCATACACCATATTGAAAAGAAGAAATATCTTATATTTCACAGTCACTGTTGGAGAGATTCTTTGATAAAAAAACAGAGTAAATCACTCTTCTTGTGAACGAATGAGAAAGAAAGAAAGTTGCCAAGCTTTACAGATACAAAGGGCCTTGCAGGTTGAGGATTAAAGAAGAATCTTTGCCTTAAGCAGATCTTGCCGTACTACAGAATCAACTTTGAGCTCACCTGCATACAGGGCCTTGCAGGTTGAGGATTAAAGAAGAATCTTTGCCTTAAGCAGATCTTGCCGTACTACAGAATCAAATTTGAGCTCACCTGCATACATATAAGGACTCGGGGGTACAAAGGTTTCTGACTGTTCTCGGAAATGCATTAAGGAACTTTCACTTTGAATCTGTGTGTTGAAGTTCTCTGCATGGAGATCATAACCATCCCTAAAAGTGCAGACATCGTTATCGTTAGTGAAGACAGATATGAAGAATTAAATTGAAGAAAAACGTCACCGAGTTAATTCGTCTTAAATAACTGAATGAAAATAATTGAAAGCAATTAACATTTGTTCAAAATTTTGAATTTATATTTAGGTGTATAATATTCATATAATAATGGTTAGTAACAAAAAGATTATGTAAAATATAAATCATAGATTTGTTTCAAGACCATTTGGATCTATAAGGATTTTTAGCAACATACCCTTCACCAAGATCATAGTCTCTTTCAGGATGCGCGTCGTAATCTACCAAGAAAAAAAGAAAAAAAACCAATACAAAATAGGCGTCCTTCTGGGAACCTTGTGTCTTATTTGGTTGATAACACTAAAAATTAATACCCAGTTGTGGATTGAAACAGGCCAATCAGAAAAATAACCATTGGAGTCCAAGAGGGAAACCGAACTTCTTTAAATTAAAAATGAACAATACTTCTTCGGACCTTAATTATTTTAAAAAAAATTAAAATCAGTAATATATTATCCATTGTGTTCTTTCGGACCGTTTTCTTTTGATGAAACGTTTTCTTTTTTCAAAGCCATTTTCAAATACTTCTTCTGTGTTCACTAACATCGTGCTATTCAGTATTCGATCGGTTATTATAAATGATAAAGACTTTTTTACGATGAAAGAGTAAACTCACAAATCCTTTTTAAAGGTTTGGAAAAGGTAAGGTAAGGCCAACTTGCCTAGAACTACAACCCATTTTTGGAGGGTGGGGCTGGGGAAGGGGGTTTAAAATTGCAGTTGGTTTAGGGCATTCTGAGTGACTTTAAAAAACGTTAGCTCTGAAATTTGGGTGAAACAAAAAGATCGTTAGCTCACAGATCTATTTAGGTTAATTATTTTAGGCCATCCGAGCTATAAAAATAAAACCTTTTAGTTAATTTTGTTTGAGTGATAGGCTGTTACCTATCAGTCTATCATAACTTTAATTAGCCTTCAGGGCTTATTTTCTCTCACAAAGTTGGTTACGCTATCGGAGTTTCCTGAATAATGGCGCTATTTTACTGAATTTAAATACTGTCTTCATCGGTTTTAATAATCCTATCTTCCATGCGAAAAAAACGAATCTCTTTAAAGATTAGAGAAAAAGGAAACGTAGAGCCATTACCTGGTGGCATTACATATGGTTTCACTGCCATGTCTTCCGGCCTTTCAATACCTCGATAACTTGGCATTACATCAACAACATAGTTTTGTCTAACAGTCGATTTTTCTTCTACTCTACAGGAAGCATTTAAAGTTGATGTAAGGTCGGCCTCTTTTCCAGGCAAAATTTCATCTATTTTGTCGGTATTAATTTCTTGGCCTCGTTCCAATTCATCTGCTGAATCGTCGTAATCTGGATCATAGTCTCTTGGGTAGATCTCACTAACAATTTTTGCGGTTGGTCTCGCGTTTCGAAATTCAAACACTTGCAAGGGATCAGGAGATCCTGCTCCTGCACTGCCGCTTGAACCAGGGTTTGTACGTACTCCCTCGGGTGTGCGCGGGCTACGTAAAGTTCGCATCACAAGCTGGTCTACTTTTCGAATATTAACTGGTTCAGGAACAGCTGAGTTGACAGAGCCTGTTGTAGGAACCTTGTACGACGTTGCAGGAGAGCCATCAGTTATATTATCAGAAAGCTTGGAACCGACAGGTCTGTCTAGAGCTCCTTCATGAGATGCTTGCAGGATTTTAGTTAGGTCCTCCATTGACAACTCTTTTGGGGCATCAACCTGACAGTAATTTATCATACTAGCATTGTCCTTTATCTGTTTACTTGCTTTTTCCTGAAGTAGCTGTTGAATCATAGATTTCTCTGAACTGTCGATGTTTGGACTACCAGGATACGCAGGAGGCTGCCGATAATTATCAATAATATAGTTCATTCGCTCGAAAATCTGCGCTTCTTCTGCGTACTGTTGATCTAAGTCCAGTCTCTTTACAGGCTGATTTACACCTAAGTGATGCAGACCGTTCTTTTTCAGCCCTTCGTAAACAACAGGAATTCCTTCGTCATAAGTAGTAATATCGCTTATATCATCATCGTCGTCATCACCATCCACATCGGTACCAACAATATCGCCTAAATTTCTTTGTTCAGTAGTGGAGCTCTGTGATGGTGGTTTCTTTTTCTTCTGAAGAAATGGAATTTTTCTACGACTTGATTTGTTTAATTTATCTGCATCAAGTTTTTTCTGGTTTATTTCCTGCTCATCGCGGTCAGTTAGATACGACTCCGAGATGTCACTTTCGGATATGCCTCGAACTGGCAAAGCTGACTGTATGCCTTGAATATAGCCTTGATCACGACTGTACTCAACATAACCACCTTAAAAATATCAAGTTATATGGTAAAGCGAAAGATTCCAATTCATTTCATAAATATATGGAAAAAGGCCTGTATGTATATAGATAAATCTACACATCTCCTAAAAATGCCAAAACGAAATTAAAATTACGATAGAACCAAGTGAAAGTCTATAGAAAGAATGGCTTGAAAGTGATACAACTCAGCTCAAAATATTCGAAAGAAGCCCGAGATATCACAACAAGGGGCCTTACTTTTCTGTCAAATATTGTTTAAAGAACAACACAAGGGCCAGGTAAAATCGAAACCTCGATTGATGAGAAATTCTGTACATTTGATCGAGGTGCTACTGATATAAAGATGCATTTCAGTCAAAATAGCACGATAAGAAGCTGGGGATTTCAGAGCAGCGACGCGTATTTAAGGATATTTTCAGGAGGGTAAAGGGTACGAAATTACGAAATGACAGGGAAGGGCAAATAAGCACCGGAATTACGACTTAGGTTTCTGTTTTCTTTCATATTATCCAACTAATTGAAATAATATCATAGATTCGAGTGGTGTGGACACTCCCATTCGAGTGGTGTGGGCATTTACACGCCTGGCAGAGGGAGATGCTATAAAATGTTCAAATCATGGGGGCTCAAAATTTCATATATCACTCATAGACAAGGCTAGCACAAAAAACTTAATTAAATTTTCCTCGTTGAAAAACGTTCATAAAAATATTAAAGAATAGAAAATTTTCGTACAGAGAAAGTAACGGATCCCTGTTTTCATGAGCGTACAACACGCGTGGGAATTGAGGGTATGTGCCAATTCAAGAACAATGCAAGTGCCAATTTTTAAAATGGTCCAAATAAACAGCCAGTCAGGCAAAAAGATCACCAGTACTCGAATAAAAAATTAGAAACAATATGTATAGGACAGCAGACCCAATATTTGGTCGCTTTTACCCCGATGCCTGTAATTGTTTTTGCTTTAAAACTTTTGATGTTTTCATTACATGTACTTGACAATCGAAAGAGTTACAATTTTGTTGAATTTGTATTGAAATTTTAGGCCTTTTATATCAATTCAACCATCGATTAACAGGTCAACGGAGATAATACAAAGGCACGCTACCAAGGCACGAAAGTATAGAGCATCTGAAGGTGTTTTAAATTATTGCTGTGTTTTAAATTATTGCTGAGCGAGAAATATTTATGAAACGGTTGTTATACATATTTTGCAAGAAATGTATACTTCACAAAGCGAAAACCAATACAGCCTTTGCAAAGTAAGCAGGGACTGAGCTCTGAAGTCTAAGTATACCAGACTAGCTAATCAATTGATAAGGATCCCAGAAAACAACGGGCATAGAAAATGCCGCGTTTGCATTTATACGGTGGAAGTAAAGTTAACATTAAACAAATGATACTGGTGCTGTTACCTTTGTATGACGGCTGGATACATTCTCGGTGCCCAGTGGTATACTTCTAGGCCTACTGATGCAAAGAACGATGAGGCAAAAGATTTCCGGTTTGCAGTTGACGAAAGAGGAACATTGTAAACAAATTAGCCTCAAAACATAAGTTCAACCAAGCCGTAGGCGAAAATCCTCTACGTGAAGTCACGCATTACAAAGAGGTTCGGCAACGTATCACTTGCAAAAAACAAAGACCTTTTTGTGGATAACATTTTATTGTTATCAAATTATCCGTCAATCATAACAGCATTTTGCTTATTCTAGTGTGATGAAAATAATTGCCAAGCATAGATGTTTCAGCTTACATGGTGATCCTGTTTACATGGCGAACTATAACTACTCAAAAATAAAAAGATAACCTTATTATAAACAAATTGTAGTGATTTTTAACATTGTCCTCTAGGTACACATCAACCCAAACAAGCACAAAGAGTATATCAGTTTAAACATTTGTTTAAAAAAAGGATTTTAAAAACTTTGTGAAGTCGACAGCATCCTACATGTTTGTTCAACATTCTAATATTTTAAGAGAGCTAACTTCCATAAAAGTGTAAAAATTCAGTTTGTTGTGAGCACAAGCTTCCATGCCCTAAAGTATTTTTTTCAAATCTAAGAAACCAGGTAGTTTCTTTCTGTCTTAAAGATCTACACTCAATTAAGTAATTTTTGTTGAGAACAAGCACTCTACAGTTATGCTAATTGCTGAAGGTGTAGGTAAGTTAATGAAATTAGCAATGAACAGTGCAGTTACGGACATATCATTAAAGAGTAGATTTTTTACTGCTCTATTTTAAATAAATTACATAATGATGTTGAAGCTTCTAGCAAGCTCTGATGCCTGCTTGAATAACAACACTTTGTGTCAAGTGATGGAAATTAAGATTTGTTTGAAAACCAAATATCTTCAGTAATGGCTAGACATCAACAGACATAAGTCAGTGTTGTTCCAAAAAAGTTCATAATTCATTTGAACTAGAACTGAGCTGTATCCATGGACAAATAGTTGTATGGAATTTCTGGTAGCAAATTGCAGCTTCATTTTGATTAACTGCCTTTTTAGAGAAATGAGCAATATTCTATCAGCTGATTCTCTTTGATGAAGCTATTTAGAGAAATGAGCAATATTCTATCAGCTTCTCTTTGATGAAGCATACATGAAAAATTCATTTTTTGTAGATTCTGGCTGAGTTATTAATGAGTTTTGCTGAGTTTTTGTAGATTATGCTGAGTTCATAATTTTCACAATCCCTTCCCCAAATCATATCCAGAAAGTCTTAAATATTGGTAACCCCCTCCCCCTTCATAATGATTTCATTAATATCTGGTGTCTAAGGGTATTGAAAAAAGTAGTTTGTTTTCCTGCAATTGTAACATCATTGGAATAACACTATGAAGCATGAAAATTACAATGCCTGCCAAAGAACTTGGAACAGCCAGCAATTTATGTTGTGTTTTTTTCTAATTTTCAATTATTTTCCTAAATACTACCTCTTCCATCCCTCTTTCCCCCAAGAACAAAGTTGATAGTTTAGAAAATATCACAAAAGTTAAAGAAAAAAGTTCACTACCTAATTGTCTTCTTTACTCATTCAGAAACCTGTATTGTTCCAAGAAGGGAGGGGGATGGCTGAATTTGCCTTTGAAAATTTGTGTCAGTGTTTAAGTCTTGGGCGACAATTTTTGGGAACAGAAAGATAATGTTGGTGTTACTATTAAGATGAAAAACTTTTACGATCATTTCAAATTAGTACAAAAAAGTATAGAAAGGATCAACAAGGTTTTAAATTAAGTTACATGGATCAAAGATTGTAACTTCCAAGCTCAATGACAAGTTTGACTGCTTAGAATAATTTTCTTAAACTTTTAAGAATAAGATTTTTTCTTTCAAGCCCAATCATAACATGCAGGAAACGCTATCTCAGGTTGTGGTTCAAGGAAAACTTTTCCTGATGGTACAATTCTTGAAAATACATTATAAATATCACTCTTTGGGGAGTATGATGAAAACAATATAGTTATTTATCTTCCAGGTTGGAAATCAGTTATGATAGCTATGAGCAACACACTTTCACCTTCAACCCGCAAGTGAAAGCATTTGAGCTGCAAGCAACTTGATTGAAATTGTGGGCCAGGTGTGAGTGCAAGAAACCCAGCATAGCTGTAAGCATATTCCAGTCTGGTTTATCTTAGCATAAAACAAAATCAACACCGTGAAGACTCTTGATACAAACACATTAAAGCTGCAAATTCCTTTCCTTAGTTGAACATAAACCCTATGTTTACATACTCTACTGATACACAATTCAATACAGATAGAATGAAGATAGCACAAACCTGTCTCTGATCTTTAGCAAATACACATGAGTGCTTATGGATTGAGATTTATCGACTTTAAGGGTCACAATAACTTGACTGTACAGTATTGATCAGAGGTTCCCAATGCTTTAAAAGGTTTCACCACAGAAGACTTTTGTAATATTTAAAATTATCTACCACTTAAGGTTTTCCATAAGAAAGAGTTACATAGCATTTCTCTGTTGTTTACTAGATTTTAAAGAAATAGGACAGATAAGATTGATAGGTATAGTAAAATAGTTCTATCCGAACTCACCTCTCTTGCTTGGCTCAACTTTCACATATCTGCCATTAAGAATATATGTTTGTGCTAGTTCTGGCTGTTCTTTCTTTCGAAACATCTCCTTGTGCAGCAGATAAAAATATAGTCAGATATTTCAATACTTAACCCTCTAAGGACCAAAGCAAAAATATGTTGCCATTTATCAATAGAAATATGGCCTACGCAAACTTTTCATCTATAACGGATTCGTAAAATCCTTTCAAATTGTGAATTCTTTCTTGACTTATAGAAGGATTGAATTCTTTTCATGGTTTTGTCAATCACATCTCTTTGCGGAATTTTTTTAATACGATTACAGTTTCTTTCATATCCAATGTTTTCTTGTTGCACCGCCGAATGTGGTGGCGACGAGGCGACAAGTACAATAACTTCTATTGAAAATTGGATAAGAGGCCGGGGAAAACTTTCGCCTCGCTAGCGGTGAAAGCAGTCAACTTTTCGAAGGATAGGCTATGTTCTAAAAAATCATCTGTCGTGAAAAGTTGTAATTTATAGGATGATCCACACAGTTACCTTTGGTGACGGGAAATTTTGTTGTTTAAACTGACAAAGCAACCTTTCCGTGACAAGTTGATTAGATAGTGCTTAATTATCCAATTAATAATCATTTATGCTGGTAATTAAGTACCTCAATTATGAATTGGGCAACACACAATGACGCAAAAGACATTACTAATTTCGAAAATCAAGCTTTAATGGTAAAGCGTGTCTAACAAAATTTGTATAGAAGATCAATAGTTAACAAAATACAAACGAATGAGTCATTGAATTTACGCAGTTAAGGTGGTACATGATATGATCAGATATTTCCCATTGAAAGAGAAACGTCCTGGAGGGATATCATGATCTTGCCCACGCACCATGTACAAAATATGCATGAGACGTCAACAGCCTACATTCTGAGACAAATGGTGGAAAGATTTTATTCTGGAGGGAGAATGCACTAGGCGTTTGTTCGAATATCTGTTTAAAAAAGCTAAGATAGGGAAGACGAGAAAAGATTTATTTCTGCTTGTGCTTTACATCTCACTCACATGAGGGAGAGGGGTTCGGGGGGGGGGCTCATGTGCAAAATGTTGAAAAAATAGGAAGGGCATAAATTGAATTGGCTACCCTTCAACATTAAAGAGGGGGATCAGCCCATCTGAGCCCCCCAAGCACTGCATCCCTATTTCTGAATGGAACCGTGTAATCAGTTTTCTGAAAAAATTGCCTTTGCAAAACTTAAATTTAGTTTTTGACAGGCCTTTAACTTACCCCAAAAATCCCCAAAAACTAATCTTGATCCGAGATTTCACGAAAGAAGGTGCGAATGTTAATATTGTAATAGTGCTAGTTTGGATTTCGTTTGTTTTGCAACCTGTAACCTTAGTAATTCTATCATTATTCGCACAATCGATTGTTTATAATTCCTTTTGTTTTCTAATTGCACCTTTAGATTCATTAATTATTTCATTTGGGATTTTTGTATCACTATTCAGTTTATCTAATTAATCTTGGGAGTAATAGATTTTGTATACACTATTTTTATGTAAATTTACGTAGCTATGAAGCATTACAATTAGTTCTTGTTTAGGTTTTATTTTGGGCGTGTTACATTTAGAGTTAGTTGGAGTTTGAGTTGGAGTTTTGAGGGGGCCTATTATAGGTTTGCGGCTTCACGGCTATTTTTACCTGCGGCCTCCGGATTTAAACATGGTTTATCTACGGACTGCGGTTTCAACAAAAGGTGCGTTTTGCGTCTTTCGGTATAAATTCGCAACGGTTTACGGCTTCTATAATACGGTTGCGGCTTTCAAATGAAATAACGGTCCGCGGCAAGGCTTTTCGCTTTGCACCGAAGGTTTTGAAAAGAGCTCCATGTCGAATAGGAGTAACGTAAGAATGGACAAGCTACTGTCAGTCATTGCTGTCAGTTAGAACAAGAGAGGGAGAGGAAATTTAAACAATAGTGCCCATACCAAAGAGGTAGGATAACACAGTGATATAGTGTAACTGGTACCTCTATGGCCCAGCCACGTAGCTGCAGGGGGGGCACGGGGGGCTGTGCCCCCAAATGAAAATTTTGACAACAGCTTGCCCCCTCTGGCTACAGTTTTTCCAAATGATATTTTGAAAACTTGGCATATTTATAAATCCATGACCTTGATTTTGTCCAAATATATCTGTTTGTTATATATCTGTTTTCTTGTTTTAAAGCCTGCCCCCCTCAGGTATGGTTCTTTCTCGAGTTTGCCCCCCACCTAGCCGACACCTACAGCTACGTGGTTGCTATGGCCGTGTAAGCAGGGCCGTACCTCCCACTGGGCCAACAAACAAATAGGATCCCCAAGAAATATTCGGCAGTTTTATATGGTGTCATAGGGTTATCTTACAATGTTTTCGAAGAACATTGTCTCCGCAAGGCGGACAAAATATCTACGTACAATTTTCAGAATGATTCATGGGATGGTCAGTCCCAATTAATTCACAATAATAGGGGTTGACGTAATATTCATGACTAGGGAATCTTCAGAAGATAATTTTACAGACAAGGCAACTAGATATAACTGAACTGGATATCATTAAAAAATTTAAAACAATGAATAAACCATCAATCCTAATGTTGTGGACATGGTCTTGCAAAGCGAGCTGTGCCCCACAAAATTTTGAAGGCTGAGGTTTTATATGGTATCAGAATCTGCTCGTAAACTTAAGGGGCCGCGCAACATGTTTAAAAAACAAAATTACAACCAACTTGTGCTTTAATAGGCTTTTTGAACCAAGCTTTACATTACTCATCACTGCGCAAATGCACAACCTTTACATGTACACGCTGCAAAAATTTATATAGATGACTCTGTCTCATATGGACTGTCATAGCATCCTAACTTGATGAAAGAAGAGAGGGATGCTTCTAAACAACCTGATACAATTATCAAGCAATATAAAATCATCTAAAGTCTTTGCCCAAAAACTTTATACAAACTCTTATGTTATCTCCTTATATTTCCACTTATTTTATGATAGGAATTATATGGGCAGAGTTTTTACAATCACGTCCTCCCGCTACGAAGAGATCAAAATAAACAAAAAATAGTCACAGAATAGGAAATAGGCAGAAGGGTAACTCTCGTCGGTTCCTTCGTTGTTTTTGAAGCCTGAGTCAACAATAGAATTCCTTAATTCCCCTTTAACCTCGATTTCATTAGACGAACTTAGCCATGACAAAATTATCATTCATTAATCAGATATAAACGAATTATGATACATAATTGAATTTGTTCACTATCATGGGGCATTTCGTCTCAAATAAAGTTGTCTACTTTCATTCTTTTTTAAAATTTCCCCGACATTCTAAGCCTCGTATAAGTTAACGCAGGCGCAAGTTTTTTCAGGCTTCACCTGATAGGCAGGAGTTCCCCTTCTGCCTAATTCCTATTCTGTGCATAGTTCCTCCAATGAAAACGAGGACCTTATTTGAAACATTTGTGATTATATTAAGAAAATAACCAGGATTTTAGAGGATAGGGCCAAGAGAAAGGAAGTATTTAAATCTTTATAAATAAATAAATATTTAAAATTAGCACGAGGGGATGAAATTGCCCAATCTCCTAACATGTAGAGTGAAAACATTGGATTATAACAATGATATGGTCAGCGAAAACATTGAATCAGCTTTTATAATTCAAGGAGCACAAAGACGACTGTACCAAAGATATGGTCTCCCCTATGGAGCTTTTCGGCAAAACCAATTTCAGCATTTATGGAAATGTTCCTTTTTTATTCCCAACTCCCAGCCTTCCTTATTAGTCCCGATATCAAGACTTTATCCCAACCACTCAATGTGAGAGATTCTGTCCTTATATAAAGAGAAACCATCTAATTTTTTTGTAAAGGCAAAATTGCTTCAAAAGGTCCATTTTCCAGTAAGCTTGAATCACCTATACTCAAAATGATTTTTCATCCTTCTACGGCAACCATGGTGCTGTCTCCAGTGATAAACCTGTCGAGACGTTTTGTTAAGATTAAGGACGTATTGTTGTCGATAAACAATTGAGCAAAAAATTCTAATTTTTCATATGCATAGCAATAAATGTATTTTATCTAGCTGCAGAGGCAATGTTTTCAGCTTTCGAATAACTTTTCAATAACTCATGAAACTGTTTCTATTTCTAAGAAGCGAGAAAAGTGATGCAATGACGGGTCGACTAGCAAAAGAAACTATCTTCCTTGTTGGCCCAGAGTCAGGGCACAGTTTGGTTGCGCAGTGAGGTTCAATAACCGATTTATTCAGTAGAGCTTGAATAGGGCTAGCTTTTTTTCGAATTTTAATCCATTCATATGATTCAGGGTACACACTTTTTATAAGAAAATAGTCTATAAGAATATTAAGGCTCTAAATCGCTGAAATTTAAGAATAGTTTAAGAATAATGCAACGCTCAAGCTTCATCAAGAATCAAGTTTTTGGTTTACTTGAGTTTTGTTGAAAGCAAGAAAAATGCGAGTTTTAATAATTAAAAAATTTTGTGGCTCTGCAAAAATTAGGCATTCTAAAAAATGTTGGGATGTGAAAAATGCTTGGGTACAAACACGTTAATGTGTCAATAGATGTTTAAAAATGTTTGGATTGATACAACGATAGCTTGCTGCGAAATATAGTAAGGACCATTAGAAACAGTTACTTCTTATCCCCCTTTTCAAGTAGATGGCTTTTGGTGTCTCGTGATGTTTTGCGAGGCCCTATAAGAGGGGACGACATTATTTCATAATTCATGATGATATCTTACAATTAATTCATATTTCAAATTACCAAAGTAAAGTATTTCGAAATTGTCAAATGTTCCATTCTACCCCCAAAGTAGAAAGTTTTTAGGAGGTGTCAGGACACATGGGACCGACTCACATACAAAATAGACTGAGTCTTCAAAATCAAACTTTGCAGATAAAATATTGAAAATGGTAAAGAATATGTTCAGGAATAGCCAAAGGGCCCCGTACTTAGGTAAAAATAGGGAATTGATTCTCTTTGGAACTGTGGTGATCCTTTGGTAATTTTGAGGGGAATCTAAGGACACTGGATGAGAAATCCATCTTTGTTTTGCTCAACTTGTTTTTGGGGAACAACTAAAGAAACTCGAAAAACATACACGTATCAAAACTGATAGTCTAAAGTCTTTTGCGTGGAGGGTACAATATGTAGGGGCCAGTCTTCGTCTTTTTTGTTTAAAATAAGAATAACCTCGCGGAAAACATGTCTAGACTCAGATAAAAAAAATTGAAAAATGAACAATATCTGTTTGGAGATTTGAAAATTTAGAAGACAGATTTTATCAGCAAATCAATCCTGCAACTTAAATGTTGTTTATATTGAATACTGTTGTTTAGTTGAATTAGAAAGAACTCATAGTATAAAGTTGTGGAACAGTTAAGGTAGATAAAAACACTTTTATGATCTTATCTGGTATTTTTGTCTATTTTGATGAGATAATATAAGTCAAAACAATTTGCGGTAGATTCTATGCTATTGGCTCTTTTACTAATCATGAAGTATGAAAAGCCGCCTCTTCTTTTAAGCGCCTCCTGTGAGAAAATGCCCCAAAAAAGTTTGAAAAATTTAAAAGAGCAACCCAGGCGTAATATAGTTTCCTAACAGCTCTACATATCAAAAGTCACTCGAGTCAATGCTGTTTTCAAATAGATAATTCTAACACAACATTCAAAGATGTATTCAGTTATTTTGTTATTTCATATTTCATACTGGGAACCAAAGTTATTTCAAAACCAAAAAATCTAAATAGTCATATTTTCTCCCCGAAAACTTTAATTACTTCATATTTCAATAACCCCTTATAGGGCCTCTTTTGCTATCGCGACCGCGTCTTCGCGCGTAATTTCATTGTGGATTGCGGCATTTGGTTGATTTTTGCACGGTTTTGCGGCTTTTGGTCCTCCTATAATAGGCCCCCTTTTGAGTGACGGTTAAGAGCGAGAAGGTCAAACTTGGTGTAATGTATGTTTAGGCCGAGGGGCAAATCACTCTTTGAAAATCTCGTACACCTTTCGTGAACGTTTTGTCAAAGGTTGCAGTTCTGAAAATTCCTGGAAATCATTTTGTTTTAGAGGAAATCTCGTACGCTATTTGCAAGAGTGAATTGCCCCTCGCTTTTTGCAAATTTTCCCCAGTAGTGAAAATTTCTTAAAAAATGCTTTGAATCAAACAGAAACAACACAACTGCATACAGGCAGTATGTCTTGTATGCACCCTTATCACAATCCATGTTCAAGGGACGATCCAATGAGAATGGAAGCGTCAAAAGACATTTGCTGCATGGAAAGTCTTGTTGTTGCTGTTGTTTTCAATATTTCTTTGTTCTTTCAGCAGAGTGGCTTCGAGTTCAGTGAAGATGGCTGCCATAAAGATACCCCCAAATAAATACAGAGACGCAATTGATCAAGTTATAGCTTACAATTCAAAAATCTTGTTAGAAAGAAGACTGCGATATCCATACATTGATGGCCAAACCGGGGTAGCACAACAAGACTGCAACCTTTGGGTTAGCCGGGTGGCCAGAAGTGCTCCTGTCAGACAAGGCCAAATATGCAGTTACCCGACTAGAAGGTGGAGGGTTCGCAAGAGACCAGACTTTGATAAGTTGAGCAGAACAAGGATGAAACAAGAATCTCAAGCAAAAGCAAAAATATCGTCGGTTTCAATGGACTCATTCGAGCCAGGTAACATTGCTCTTCTGATATTATGTTTTTTTCTGTCAGCTTAACGAATATGATTGTACTTTCGTGGAAAAGTCATGGGAGATGTAGAGTGCATAAAGACATTTGTAAAATTTCTCAGTATCGAACCCATTGAAAATTTAGACTCAACGATTCTTGTATCCATATTTGTATTTTTGTGTGTGATTCAGTTGTTTTTATCAGTTTTTTGTTTTTGGTCATTCATTCAAACAATGAGAAACAGAAATTAAAGTTAAATACATATTTGTGAAGTAAACAAGCTATATTATAATTATCAAAGTTTAATTAATAAGAAATTGATAATAAATCAATTGAAAATGAGATAATTGCTAATATATGAAAAGCAAAGATAACCACATTGTTGTTTAGGACCTTTAGAAAAATCTCCATTCTAAGCATGTTTTTATATCAATGTTTTTGATGCACTCAAACTAAGCCAGAGCACACAGGCAATCAATCATTACAAATCTTTTATAGGATTAGATGAAACAAGCATGTCAAGTACTATTAGTGAGAAATTACAGAGAAATGAATCTGAACCACCAGAGCCAGCACCACTACCAAAGCCAGAGGTAGCAAAGGCTTCATACGATTATGAAGAGCAAGAAGATGAGGCTATGTCAGATTACAACATCAGTGATGATGAGTTTACACCATCAAAACGAAGGAAAAGAAAGGATGCATCTATCAAGAGGGTTTGTTTTGCATGCTTAAATATCCCTGGTGGAAGATTCTAGATGGGTCCTTGAGCACAACACAAATTTTCAATATCCTGTTCCTATCCATTGTTCTTTGCACTTAAAACATTTGATTATTTTGTTCCTCACAAATTGATGATGAAGTGTGCTTTGCTGGTGCTTTTTCAGTATTTGTATATTCTTAGTATTTATATAATTTTTAACATTTCAACTTTTAGGGTAAGAAAAATGCACTAGCTTGGAAATTAGCTGATAAAGTAAGGAATCTCACAAGAGAGGAAGTAAACAGTATGGGGCCAGAAGAAAGGAAAAAGCCATACATGTGTGAAAGTATGCTATTATTAAATTTAAGTAGAGTATTGATTTTCAGATTGAAAGTGATGCCTTTCTTTACCTCCGAATTTTTGACAAAAGGACAAAATGTACTTGATTAAGGCATTTGTAAGATTATGTAAAACTGACAGTTTTTGGTGTTTTCTGCTTTTAAGATACATAAGCCAATAAAATGATAGAATATGATATTTTTTCTTTAGATATGATAATTATGTCACCATTTGATTATTAAATAAGATGAGATACTTCTGGTTTTCTATTATGCTGAGGTCAAAACCATTACTTTTTAACAGTTTGTTTCAAACGCTACAAAAACACACAAGGTATAAGGTATCATTACCAACATTATGACCATGATGCTGAAGATTCACAACCTCAGGCAGAAGGTGCTGAAATGCCAAACCCAGAAAAGAAAGAAGTAGATCCATCCAAAGCAGACATTGAATCAAGTGCGTATTGTGACTTCTGTCTTGGTGATGCAAGGGAAAATAAAAAAACTGGTACCAAAGAAGAGCTGATTTCATGTTCTGATTGTGGAAGATCAGGTATGTAATCAAAGTAGCAAATTATTTGAAAATCTGTTGAAAAAATAAGCAATGTCACAATATATGACAGAAGAATGGAGGGGGTAGTGGGATAGTTCATGCAATACTTTTAAATACATTGGGATTATTATGATAAAACACCTCTTTTCTCAGGTAGACAATAGTTTTTTTCTAACTGGCACAAATTGCATCATCTATCAACAATTCAAACATTCTACAAAGCATGTTTGACCATGCAAAGAAGAATTTCTCTAGCCTCTATTTTCCATTTGTCTTTTACTTTGTAATGATGTAACTTAATGCTAAGTTACAGCTATGTAACTGCTAGAGTTCTAAAATAGGGTTTAACAGTCTTTGTAATATGAGGCGTGCGATCGCACGCGCACGCCTCCACACGCGCAAATTGTCCAAGGCGTGCTAATCATCGCACGTGCAAAACAAAGAATTTGCCACAAAATTTTTTTAAAATTGCTCCACTCAAAGTCGCCAAAGTCGGTTCTGTCGTTGTCCAAGGTGTTGTTAAAGTATTCCAATAAGGGATCTAACAACAGCGTCAAAAAGATCGCTTAACAGTTAATACGACAAGATCGCTTAACAGTTGACCCAAGGGGGATTAATCTGCAATCAATACCTGGTGCTTACTGTCAAAACCCGGCAATTTAAATTTTCGATCCAAGAGATGTTTTCACTGTTCGATTGATTATTCTGTTCTTCGGTAATCATGGCGAAAAGAAAGAAAGTGGAGCTGGCAACATTCATTGGTTGAGGAAAGAACAAAATTTTCGGTTTCAAGTCGGAAAAGGATGATGCTACTTCGATGATGCTGATGGCGTGTTTAGTACGATGAAGTTGTTTGATCGAAAGCAATGGAACGACAACAAGGATTACAGGGTCCCAGAGATCACTGCTTTTGCAGCTATTTTCAAACGGAGATCTATCTTTCAAAATGCAGAAAGCGAAAGCTGGATAATTGCAACAGTTTATCGAAGAAACCGAAGTTAGATAAGGAGGAGGAAGCTGAAGAAAGCTCTGATGAAGAAAAGTGACGGTGACTGTACTTATTTTCACATTATTTTAAACTTGTTTTTGTGCCCAAAAAAGTGTGTTCATTTCGACGTTTGTGTCTTTTTTCTACCTTCTCATTTGATTGTTAGCTCAATTCCAAAGGAATACCGATCTAACGTTATGATATTTTTTATGAATATCCGCTAAGATATTCACGGGTAATAGAATTTGAGTAGAGTCTACGGGTAATAGAATTTTTTTCAATCCAGATTTCTTTAAGTGACTAATTAAATTTAACATCTTTAAAAAGAACAAGAACAGTTTCTCCGCCAATTACCTTGGTTTTCGTTCAGTTTATAACAAAAAAGGTCTTAAAAGCAGCACCCAGTTCTTGACAACAGGGAAGAGAAACAACCGATAAAAAGCGGTTCGCATCGCACGCCATCGCACGCGCAAAGTAACCAAGGCGTGCGAAATGCCGCACGCGGCCAATTTTCATATTACAAAGACTGGTTTAAGGAGCTTACATATTATTGTTGTTTTACTTAAATAGCATATTTGTTTTCTTTGAAGAAATTATCATGCAACCTTATACCAAAGTAAAACATACAACTGCCAATTATTTTCATAAATTTTTTATAGGATAAATTGTCATAATTATGCAGCATGTTTTTTCTTACTTGTCAAGGGCACCCATCATGCCTGCAGTTTACAGACAAGCTGATCATTGAAGTGAAAAAATATAAGTGGCAATGCATTGAATGCAAGTCTTGCTCTTTGTGTGGGACCTCAGATAATGATGTAAGTTGCAGCAGTTGCTCATTGTTATTGTCTTTCTACCAATCTGTTCTATTTGGATACAGTTGTTAAAACAAATATTTTGTTTTTAACAGTCAACTCCATGAATTATGTTTTTGCAATGTGATCTCTTGAGTAAACAAAAAGATTTTTGATGTTATAGCAACTTTTGATGTTTTTGCATTTTGAATGAAAAGAATGGGATATATTCCTGTAGACATAAGGAAGAAAACCTGAGAGTTGTTGTGAGTTGGGGTGACTTTTTAACTTTAATTTGTTAGAAGTTAAACATTCATTAGGATGTATTGCTTTACCAAGACTCTATAAAGTATGTAAGAGTGACATGTCAATTACAATTTCAGGATCAACTGCTTTTCTGTGATGAATGTGACAGAGGCTATCATATGTACTGCCTTACTCCAAAGATGTCAGAACCTCCAGAGGGTAGGTTTTGCTCTTGTTTTTGTATTCAGTCTTTTAATTAACTGATTAATCAAACTTTGGGTGCTTGTTGTACAACTTTACTATTACTTGACAAAAAGCAAATAGTTTTAATCATTTCAAAGCCATTTTTATATTTTATATCACAAAACGATTGTTAACTATAATTTTGACCACTTAAATGCAGTCGTATCTATGTTCATCACCTCATTATTGCCATATTAAAATTTTGGTGTATAAAACTGGCAAGTGAAGAGCATGTTTACATGTTGTGTAAATGCCAAAAGTTTTTTTTGAAGGAAAAGGACAATTTACTCTCCATTTGCCTAAATTTTTATATGCAGATTTGTAAGAAGAAGGGATTGCATCGTTGCAGGGGTAAATTGCTAAAACCTTTCATGTTTAGAACGCTGATCTTGAAAGTAAAATTGAAAAGTATTACTTTATCCTTTTTAAAGGACATTGGTGTTGCAAACTATGTGAAGAGAGGATGAAAGCTGCTGGTGAATACCCACCTGAAAATTAAGATGCAAGGAAATTAAATGCTTCTGAATGTTTGGAAACATGCGAATGCAGTTGGAAAATATTGTTCATTTAATTTTGCAAAGCAGACAATATATCTAAAAAGAAATTACAAAAAACATTATCTAGTCAATATATTTGGTAAATCAATAATTTTTTTAAATAGATAAAGATAGTAGCCACCAAAAATGTATCTTCTTTTATCAAAATATTCATGAAATGATTCTCTTCAGAATAGTTCTGCTTTTTCCTGTAGGTTGTTTTATTTGTCTTGGATTCAAGATTAGCAATTCATTTTCAGCTGTTATCAATCAACGACTTTTAAAGATATTTTGTATTGAATAGATAGTCATAATGAATGATTTATAAGTTTGATATTTAGGTAATTGGACCTTACTTGAAGTTGTTTGAATCATCCTTAAAAAAAATTGTTACATAAGTTTGACTTTTGCTACATGTCAAGTTTAAGTTTTTTATGCGTTTAAGTCAGACAATGCAAGTCAGACAATTTGTTTCAACTGATCCGTAGAGATCGGACTTATGCAAGTTAGAATGTATTTAATGTTTGGAACATTCCAAATGCCTTCGTATCTTAAAGTATCAGGTATAATTTCATACTAACCTGACCTAATAATATATCAAATTGGCATAACTTTGAGTGCCCTCCCCTCCCCCGTGGAGCGGATGTGTTATGATACGATACAGAATCCATTTAATGATGGAAATATGGAAACGAGACTGCAGCAAAGCCTTTGAAAATACTTTTGAAATCCACAATTCCTATGAGGGTTCTTTTGTGCCCATAGACAGTTTAAACCACTAGGAGAATCATACAGAGTTCAATCGAGTCTTCTCTCTGTGTGCGCTTTTTGTTTTTCCAGTCTGCGTTCTCTTTCGTCCTTAAATAATGATGAGGACTTTCAATACAACACTTCAAAGCTACATTGAAATACCTCGATAGACGTTTGATTAATAAACCTTTACTCACACAACAGCCTCAATATTAATGACCTTAAAAGATTTATATTATGTTGGCTTTTTTGGTTAATGACATTAATGTAAAAATAAAAGATTTTAAAGCCCCACAGCGTCAAATACTAATTTCAGAGTACTGTACATAAAAATTCCAGGTGGCTAGTAGATTTTTTTTATTTTATGACAAAGCGTCCTAAAAGATTACGTAAATGAAAAAGATTAACGATGTTCAAACATCGTGTGTTTCAATGCACCCTAAAATCCTTTTGCTCAAGCGACTTTTCCGACGGTAGTGGATTACGGGCAAGATTTTTGTTTTTCAAGTCATAAACAATTCTGGATTAACAAGCAATCTTCTTTTAACTTGTCCTTTTAACTTTCTCTAAAGTCATTTCTTCAGAAGAAGAAAATGCTCCATGCATGTTCGCTGCTTGTTGATTCTCTTCCCTAGCTTTAAGTTTGACCTGAATCAAAACTTTTTCTGAAAGACATTGCCTTAAAACAAATGTTATTGTATTATTCGCACTTGACAAGCTGGTTTCATTCCTTCCAACTGATGTGATTTGATTTAAGAATAGAAAGAAAAGCATTGTATCTTTCAAGCGTCCAAAACTGACACAAAGTTAACAATCCTTTCACACCGAAACCCGCACGTTCGTGTCAGGATGCAAATATAAGCATTGCCCTAGGTGATGCGGATCTCTAGAAGATAGTTTAGAGTCACCTTTTTTATTTAGTTTTGACATATCAAAATGATTTTATGTTTCTAAATTGTTTGAGAAATCAAGTTGTTGTGAAAAACACCCTGTTTGGTAATTTCTATGACCTCGTTATTCGAATTGATTGATAAAGTGCGCCAAGAACAAATTGAATATTTCGAAACTTTCTGAGCAACAGGTGAACCATAGCCCATAAAACATGACGATCGCACAGTCAACGGCTGCGTGGTAGGCCCAAAAAACAAAATAAACTGAAGGGCCTCACCCAAACTGCGCCATTTTTTCCTTCTTTTCCCTTGAAGTCAAGGAAATTGTCTGGACTCTGAAGTACGTAAACACTTTTCTGGACCCTGAAGTGTAAAAAACGGGTACATCGACATTGATGCGTTTGATTGCTGACAAGCGGTTATTAACCAAGGTTTACTTTTGAGTAAAATTGATAGAAAAGTTCTTCATAGTTCTTGTTCTCGATTTTAAAAACAAGGGACCATTTATATTATTGCAGTCATATTAAGATTGACTACTGAAAAGGCTTTCATAGTTTTAATGAGCTAAAACGTAAAAACTGAGGTGAACAGAGTTAGAATGATGCGAAAGCTAGAGAGACTCTTGATGTTACTTAGACTGTTGAAGGCGTGATTTTTCTTACTTAAAGTTCATAAAAATACCATCGGCATACCTCTGGGATGGGAAAATGTGTAATGCTTTTAATTGGTGATGCAAGCTTCTACATGATTTATCTCTGTTGTTTGTTTGAGGAAATGGCTAATAACCTTGAGGTCGTCCAGTTTCCGTCTCAGCGGATACGACAAAATTTGTCATCCTGGACTTTTCAGCTGTGAGCTGAATTTAAGATTTATCAAAAACACAAGATTATCAATTATTGAATGAATATTTGATTGCAAAGAATAAAACTAAAGCATAACAGAATTACAGCAACAGTAGAAAAAATAAGTGATTCTTAAGTAGCCAAAAGAGCGGCATTTGCGTTCATTTCAACCCAGAAGCATTCTAGCTGGAGTCCTGGTACAGGTTGAACGACATTGCTGCGAATCAAGACTATGTCCAGAGGTACTGGCGAATTTCATTCATGTATGCATGTTAGCCAGTAGATAGGAATCTCTATGATGTAAGTCAAGTACGTTTCTTTGACCAATCATAGTCAATTGTGAAAGAATTATAATGAAGATGTAGGAGGAAAATCAGCTTTTTGTTTAACAGGATTCATTGTAAAAGCAATAGATTTTTCTTGGCGATATCCGAAATGCAAGGAAGAAAGTTTTTTAACTGTCATTTTCACTAAAAATAGCTCTCCACTGACGTGCATTCATTGAATACTTAAGTGTCAGCTTCGTAAAGCCTGTTTCTTTTCCAGCCTCACCTTCTCAATCAAGATACAGATGTCTTTTGTAATCAACTGGTTTTGATATCATTAAAAAAGTTATTAATTATTAACGGTTTAATTAAACGAGAATGCTGCAACAAAAACATAGAGATAAATAAACAATCGACACTAAAATTCCATTTCTGTGACATTCTTCACGTACCGAAGAAAAATGAAATATTCATACATCTAATTATATAAAACAAATGCCTACACATTAAGCTCACCAGGCCTCTGGTATAAAAACGGAATCAGACATCTTTACTTTATTTTTAGACTTACAGCCAAGAGCGTCTAGAAGCATGGTGAGACTTTGCGCGATATTTCTACCTCTTTTAACAGAGATCCTGTTTACAGTAAATACAGCTTCAAAACTCACTAGAACAGGAGTTTACAGCTACGAAGTGCCTCAAAAAGATCATCCACATAAAGCAAACTCCAGACATTTGAGCGTATTGGAGTATCCTCAACAACTGACGTCTTCGAACCAGCACGACGATATTGAGGATTTATCTAGTCAAAATGGCAAGAATCTTAAAGATGAAAATGGTTTTAGAAACTTTCGGATACGGTCATTTGAACATCTGCGGAGAAAAAGGAGTCTTAGCAAAAACCGGTCTGGGAAGGAAAAAATAATTAAACGAAGAGAAGTCACAAGGGGAGTACAAATAAAAAATTTTCTCATTGATCCATATGGAGAACTAGATCAAAAAAAGGGAATGACAAATCAGAAAAAAAACATGCTTTGGAATTTAAGATATGGAAGAGAGTCTTTTAGCAAAATGTACCAGCCACTGTGGAATGGGAGATATGGGAGAAAGACATATCCTACTGATGAGCAATGGAGACAAGGAAGAGATACAGAAGAAGTTAGCAGCCAGCCATTATGGAGTGCAAGGTTCGGAAGAGAGGCAGGAGAAGCAAACAGCCAGCCATTATGGAGTGCAAGGTTCGGAAGAGAGGCAGGAGAAACAAACAGCCAGCCATCATGGAGTGCAAGGTTCGCGGGGAGAGAGGCAAATGTCGTTAATGGGCAACTGAGGCCAGGAAGAGAAGCTGGAGAAGGAAGCAGCCAGCCATTATGGAATTCAAGGTTTGGTAGAGAGGTAAATGCCGTTAATGAACAATTGAGGCCAGGAAGAGAAGCTGAGGAAGCAAACAGCCAGCCATTATGGAATTCAAGGTTTGGTAGAGAGGCAAATGTCGTCAATGGGCAACTGAGACAAAGAAGAGAGACAGGAGAAGTAAGCAGCCAGCCATTATGGAGTTCAAGGTTCGGAAGAGAGGCAGGAGAAGCAAACAGCCAGCCATTATGGAGTGCAAGGTTCGGAAGAGAGGCAGGAGAAACAAACAGCCAGCCATCATGGAGTGCAAGGTTCGCCGGGAGAGAGGCAAATGTCGTTAATGGGCAACTGAGGCCAGGAAGAGAAGCTGGAGAAGGAAGCAGCCAGCCATTATGGAATTCAAGGTTTAGTAGAGAGGCAACTGTCGTTAATGGGCAACTGAGACAAAGAAGAGAGACAGGAGAAGTAAGCAGCCAGCCATTATGGAGTTCAAGGTTCGCCAGAAGAGAGGCAAATGCCGTTATCGAGCAATTGAGGCCAGGAAGAGAAGCTGAAGAAGCAAACAGCCAGCCATTATGGAGTTCAAGGTTCGCCGGAAGAGAGGCAAATGCCGTTAATGAACAATTGAGGCCAGGAAGAGAAGCTGAAGAAGCAAACAGCCAGCCATTATGGAGTTCAAGGTTTGGAAGAGAGGCAAATGCCGTTAATGAACAATTGAGGCCAGGAAGAGAAGCTGGAGAAG